AAAACATATACTAGTGTATTAGAAGGAGATAAGATTCAAGGAGAAAATATTGAAATTGATACAGGAAATGTAGAGTTTAGAGTAGGAAAAATTCAAATGAATAAATTAACTATTCAGAAAGAATCTAACATTTCATTTATTGGAATAAAAAATACTAGTACAATTGAAAATATTGTTTTAATTAAACCAGGAACTACATCTATTTTAGTTAAAGATGGAGTTAATCCATTAACATTAAAAATCAATAATGACAATAATACACTTAATTCTATTACATTACAGAATAGTAGTAGAGTAATTATATCAAACACACAAACTACAATTAATTTAGGAGAAGTTAATATTGAGAATAGTCAGTTATATCTTGATAGTGGAAACTATGAATTTAATGAAAAAACAATCAATTTCCTTGTTAACTCAAATGACTTTATGATGGTTATGGGACCAAGTACTCAAATCAATAGTAACAGTCGAGAAATAAAAACAATGAATTTCAATATTAAAATTGAAAAAGAATTAGAAGGACCAATATACTTATTAAGAACATCTTACCAAAACTTTATTAGTAGGTTTGGAGTTAAATTCACAATCACATCCAATAATCATCTTAAAGGAGAACCAACGAATTCAATAGACTCAAAATATGAACTAACACAAGTTTGTCGTATTTATGTTGCATTAGTACCAAAAGGATACACAATAACTGAATGTCCAAAAGATCCATGTGGAACAAATGAAGCAGGTATTTTTTCACAAATAACTACTAAAGAAGTACCAACATGGGCTATTGCAGTTATAGTAATTGTTGGAGTTATTATTGTTATTGCTTTAATACTCTTAGTTGCTTTCATTCTTTATGCTAAGTTAGTCTTATTAAAGAATAGAAAGAATAATAAAGTTTTTGATGATACTGAGAATGTCTTCTGCCAAACTCCAGAAGAAACTACAGAACATGAAGAGTCCCAAGGAGAAACTGAATCTTCAGAAACATCTGGAAGTGGAAGTGATGGAAGCTCAAAGACTAGTCAAGTGTCATCAGTAAAAGAAGTAGATCTTTCCCAAGGCGATGAATCATTTGACAGTGAAGAGTCATCTGGCAGTGAACAATCAGACAAAAAGGATAATTCTTCTGAGAGTAAGGAGTCACAAAAAAGTGATGGTCCAACAAAAGATTAAACCTCTCAACTCCGATAAATGCCCTGAAAAGGGTTCTTCTAAATAAGAAAAATATTTGTGGATTCTTTTATTTTTTATTGTCAATGTAAAATATTCTTTCTGTTCGAAATAAACTGCCAAAAAAACTAATTAAAAATTTGAATTTTAGGAAGAATTGGCTTTTGAATTCCAAAAAGTTCAAAATGAACTGAGGAATCTTTAAAACAATAATTGAGTATAACATCTATGAATGAAATAGTTGAAGAAAAGATTCCTAGTAAAGTTGATTTTGATAAGTTACTCTTTTCAAGAAGACATAATCTACTTGAAGCTGTAGTCAGAACTGTTTGTTTCATTTTATCTTGAAATCCATTTGTTTTTTCAAATTTGTTTTCTTTTTTGAATAAGAAAGAAAGGTATTTATTAAAAAATAGCTTGTTACACAACAACGACAAAATAGAAGTGCTGAATATGCTCGAATTATTTCTGACTATTTTAAAGCACATGGAAGATTTATGGAGTTAATTACTTGGGCAATTGATATTGATTTTCTTAGTACTGACACATTAATGATTGATTCGAGTTCATTCCAATATTCTACATTTTTCATTCCATTTTATAATCAATTTGTACGTTATTATTTTAAAAATTATTTACTTGATACCTTTGAACCAATTATTGATGGTCTTATTTTAGGAGGTGATTATAGTGAAGAGTTTAAAATCGCTATGAATTTTCAATCTAAAGAAATTACTACCTCAGAAGATATTGCTGCTTATCAACAATCTCTTGACACAATCTCTAAGATTTTCTGCAAACTTTAAATGAAGAATTTATTAAAAATGCACAATATTTACCTGATTTTGTTAGAATGTTCTTTAATCAATTCTTTACACTATTAAGAGAAGGAAACATAGAAGATGTTGTAATAGAAAAAATATTTAATGAATTATTCTTTACATATACTGTTTGTCAAAACGTAAATGACCCATTTCTCATGATGTATGATGATGAAAAAAGAACACAGTTAGTACCAGTATTATATAAATTAGAATTTGTTGCATTAGTCATTCAAAATTTGTACACTAATACTTCTTTATGTGAAGGTTTTCTTATTGACCTTCAACAAACTATTAGAAAATTCAATGGATTAAATATTGGAGAAAAAATGTTTAAATATATGGATAGTCATCCTGCAACAGTTAAAGAAGAGGAAGAAAGTGAAGAAGAAAAGGAACGTGCATTCAATAATTTATTAGATGCAATTAGAAATAATATTCAAGGAATATTAGACTTATTACCAGGTAATTTAAGTAACCAATTATTAGAAGCAATTAAATTAGAAAAATACGTTTATGATGATTATCAAATTTATCATGCTACAATGGATACAATTAATACATTCACTCAAGCATATAATGCTAAAATAAATAAATTAGATACAGAAAATATGTTACTTAAAAATGAATATGACAAATTATTTAAAGAACAACAAGAATTGGTTCAACAATTAGATGCTTTGGAACGAAAATTAGGTCAGGAAGATCTTGAAAAGTTATCATCCTGTTTGGATGATGATTTAATTTACTGTGATGAATTTAACCTTATTGAACACTCTAATTCTAACCGCTCTTCACGAGATTCATCCCGGACACGTTCTAGTATACCACGACCAATCTCTTCACTTCAAGATACATCACCTACTCTAACACCGAGACACTCTAACTCAAATTCACAAAAAAGCTCACCAAAACAAAGCAAATTGTTTAGTAAATTCTGGAAGACTGAAAAAGAGAAAGAGAAAGAAAAGGAAAAACAAGAGAAAAAAGATAAGAAGGATAAAAAAGAGAAAAAATAAGACATTACTTTTTGTTTTAAAAAACAATTCATTTACAATTATTTATAGAACAAGAAATGAAAAACAAAAAATTTTTAATATTTTTAAGAACTTAAAAGAAAGAAAATTAAGATCAAAGAAAATGGAAAGTAACACACAACCACTTATTCCACAACAAAATCATAAAAAGTATCATACTTATTCATTTATAACATGTTTTGCTGTTGTTGTTAATTATATTGTCGGTACAGGAGTATTTGGATTACCTTCAGCATTTTATTCAGCTGGAGTGCCATTATCAACAATTACAATTCTTATATTTTGCATATTATCATGTGTCACTGCTATTTATGTAATTGAAACATTGTCAAGATCACATGGATATGCTATGGCAGTTGAGTCAGGAGAATATAAATGTGAAATGGGATATGAGGTATATGATTATTCATCTATGGCACAGATGTGGGGAGGAAAACCAGTTAAATGGGCAACTACTATTACATTAATGTGTAGTGCATATGGATCATTATGGGCATATGTTGCTACATGTGTTTCCACACTATCAACATTATTTTGGTTGATTTATTCTAATGAGCCAATGAAGTGTGATGTATCTAATAGATGGCATTTTGACTGGAAATGTAACGTAACATATTTTACATCAATAGCTGTATATGGACTTGTTGTTATCCCACTTACATTTATTGACCTTACTGAACAATCGTTACTTCAATTAGTATTAACTGTTTATAGATTTGTATCATTTCTCATCATGTTCATTACATGTGCTGTACAATTAGGAAAAAATGGACCAATAGAATTAAAAGTAAATACATATGAAGATGTTAGTTTTCTTAAAGAATTTAGGTGGGTTGGTTTTGGTTCAATGTTTACACATGTTGCATTTGCATTAGCATGTCAACAAAATTTACCTGATGCACTTGCACCATTAAATAAAAAGAAGTTTTCACATATTGCCACACTAGGGTCAATTATATTATGTTGTTTTATTTATATTGGGATTGCATTAGTTACGTCATGGTGTTTTACAACATCAACACCATCACCAGTAACATTGGCATGGGCAGATTATAATGGATATGAAGGTGGATGGGGAGTAGGAAAAGCTAAATGGTGGGCAATAATTATCAAATATATGATTTTATTATTCCCCATTGTTAATCTTACAAATGAATTTCCATTAGTAGCAACAACATTATCAACTAACATGAGAACATTATTTAGAAATAAAAATAGTAAAAGAACAAAATTTATTACTAAGGCATTAGCCGCATTTCCACCTTTCATTTTAACATGTGCAGTTGGTAGTTTAAGAGTAATATTTGATGTTACTGGATCATTTTCATTTGTGTTATGTTTCTCTTTACCATGTATTTTCCATTATTTATCAAGAAGAAAAGTTATTGCTAAATTCAATAAAACTAAAACACCATTTAGTGGACCATGGTCAAGAATTGAAGTTACAGGGGCTGTATTTATTATATCATTATTGCTCTTTATCACTGCAGTAGTATTTATAATAAAAGAATTAGTCACGAATTTTACTGTTGCCTAAATACATGTTTTAATTGCACTTTATTCGTTTTGTGTTGTTTTATATTCTCCTTGAAAAAGTACTGAATTTTACTTCTCTTTTTTTTAACTGAGGTGGTAATTAAAAAGTAAATTAAATATCGCAAACAAGTGCTCCTCCATCATGTGCATTGCAAAATTCTTGATATAATTCTTTAAACTTTTCATCAGTACAATCAGTATCACTTATTGAATATTTCCAATCTCGTAAACATGATCGTTTACCAGTAGCTGTTGGATTTTTATTCATGCACTCTAAATAATCGTCAGAGTATTTTCTAAGTGCCCAACTAGCACAAGAGGCATTAACTATAACAATACACAAAACAAGTACAATCAATGTTTGAACCAATTTCATTTATGGATCTGTTATTATTCTTTACTAGTTCTAAAATTCTTTTTCCATCTTATTTGAATTTTACTTGTTATATATAACGAATCATACTTGTATATCAAATAGACTTGTTTTTATTTCAGTCTTATCTTACTCTTTTCTTCAATCATTCTCACAACAATATGCAACTGAAATCTCTCTTTATTCATGAACAAATACCAAGTTAAACGATTTACACCAGAAGAAATTTCATCAATGGTATTAAGTAAAATGAAAGAAACAGCAGAAACATTTGTTGGAAAAGAAATAAAGAATGCAGTTATTACATGTCCAGCATATTTCAATGATTCTCAAAGACAAGCTACTAAAGATGCAGGAACAATTGCAGGAATGAATGTGATGAGAATTATTAATGAACCTACGGCAGCAGCTATTGCATATGGACTTGATAAAAAAAGTTCAGGAGAGAAGAAAGTATTGATATTTGATCTTAGAGGAGGAACATTTGATGTATCAGTTCTTGCAATTGAAGAAGGAGTGTTTGAAGTTAAAGCAACTAATGGAGATACACATCTTGGAGGAGAAGATTTTGATAATCGACTTGTTAAATATTTTATTGGTGAGTTTGAAAGAAAATATAAGAAAGATATTAGTGGGAATGCACGAGCTGTTAGAAGATTAAGAACAGCATGTGAAAGAGCAAAAAGAACATTATCAAGTGCAAGTGTTGCTAATATTGAAGTTGATCAATTATATGAAGGAATTGATTTTTATACATCTATTACACGAGCTAGATTTGAAGAAATCAACATTGATTTATTTAAATCAACGATTGGACCAGTTTCAAGAGTATTAGAAGATGCTAAAATAGATAAAAGTAGTATTGATGAAGTAGTATTGATAGGAGGAAGTACAAGAATTCCAAAAGTCGTTGAGATATTAAAAGAATTTTTCAATGGGAAAGAACCAAATAAAAGTATTAATCCAGATGAAGCAGTTGCGTATGGAGCAGCAGTACAAGCAGCTATATTAACAGGAACCGGAGGGAAAGCAACAGAAGATGTGTTATTACTTGACGTTGCATTAATTAAATTTTGTGAGTCATTTCTTTTTTTTGTTTACTCACAAAACATTCTCACTCCTTAGTATTAAATTAATATGTGACAGTAAAGTAGAAAAGGATTTGAATAGAATATAATAAAATAATATTTAGAATAAATGTTATATCTTTTTGAGGAAATACATTGAATTTATATTCTTTTATCACAGCCGCAAATAACAATAACTTTGCTGAGTATAAGATAAAAAGAAAAAAATAAAAACTTCAAAAGAAAAAGAAAAAGGACAAAAAAGAGAGAACTACAAAATTAGTAAGTGAGAGGGATGGAAATAGAGAGACAAAGTGAAGAAAGTGCAATGGTCAAATATTATAAACACAAGATAGATGAAATGACATATGAGTATTGTACAGAGTTACAAAATCAACGACGATTAATTTCTAAAAGAAATCAATTAAATGACCAAGTAAGACGAATGAAAGAAGAACTTCAATTATTATCAGAACCGTCATGTTCAGTTGGGGAAGTTATACGAGCTGTAGGAAAAGATAAGGTATTAGTTAAATCAACACAAGAAGGAAAATATGTTGTTAAAGTCGAAGCAGGAATTGACATAAGAGCATTGAAACCCAACCAACGAGTAGCACTAAAAAGTGATACATATAGTATTTGTAAAGTTCTTCCAAATCAAGTAGATCCATTAATATCATTAATGAGAGTAGAAAAAGTACCAGATTCAACATATGATATGATTGGAGGATTAGATCAACAAATTAAAGAGATAAAAGAAGTAATTGAATTACCAATCAAACATCCTGAATTATTTGAATCACTTGGAATTGCACAACCCAAAGGTGTATTATTGTATGGACCACCAGGAACAGGCAAAACATTATTAGCAAGAGCTGTAGCACATCATACGGATTGTACATTTATTCGAGTTTCAGGGACAGAATTAGTACAAAAATATATTGGAGAAGGAAGTCGAATGGTTCGAGAGTTATTTGTAATGGCAAGAGAACATGCACCATCTATTATTTTCATGGATGAGATAGATTCTATTGGATCTAGTCGAATTGAAGGAAAGTCAGGAGGAGATAGTGAGGTTCAACGAACTATGTTAGAATTAGTTAATCAATTAGATGGATTTGAACCAACAAAAAATATCAAAGTGTTAATGGCAACAAATCGAATAGACATTTTAGACCCAGCATTATTAAGACCAGGACGAATTGACCGAAAAATCGAATTTCCTAATCCAAAAGAAGAAGCACGTTTAGACATTCTTAAGATTCATTCTAAGAAGATGAATTTAGTTCGTGGAATCGATCTTAAGAAAATTGCTGAACGATTGGATGGAGCATCTGGAGCGGAGATTAAAGCATGTTGTACCGAAGCAGGTATGTTTGCACTTCGGGAAAGAAGATCTCATGTAACACAAGAAGATTTTGAATTAGCTGCTGCTAAAGTAATGAAGAAAGATAATAACGCATCTATCTCATTACAACAATTATGGAAATAATTTTTTTCTTACTTCTCGTTTTGCTTTTGTTCAATCTAAAATGAAGCTATCTTAAATGATAATTTCACCCTATTTGTTTATACTCTTTACTACTCATTCATCTCATAATAACACCACATAAATTACCCAATACCTTCATCTAACTTTCAATCAAACTAAGAATAACTAAATTATCAAAAATCTATAATATCTAATGAAGAAAATAAAAAAAGACTCAATTCGTTTTTTATAAACTGTCTTTATCATCTAAATGAAATTTAAAAAATCTTTGAAATTAACAATTCAACACAACAATTACTCTTCCTGAATGATAAATTATCTAAATTAGAAAATAAAAACATACAGAAAGAAAAGAAGAAAGATGAGGTAAATCAAAGATGAAAAAGAAATAAAAAATAAGTTTAATAAATGAAAAGATTCAAAAAGTTATTTTGAATAATTAGTTAAGCAATTGAATAAACAGGAGTAGAGAGATTATTATCATTTGTTTGATAAAAATAATAAAAAGTATGAAAAACTACAATACTACAAATTATATTACTAACAAATTTGAAGTGAAGGTAAGCAAATAAATTAATAAAGAAGAAGAAGAAAGGTGTTCAACTAATCATATTTTTTTAATTAATATATATTGTTTTGTTAAACAATAGATTGAAAAAATAATGTATATTTTTATATGCCATAGGTTCATTGAAACCAACCAATTACAGTTTTCTATCACTGAAAAAAATAAACAAATATTATTTAAGTGTAATACATATTTTCTTAAAGTTGTCAGTTATTTAGATTTATCCCTAGTTCTATTGTTTATCTATTTTTGAATAAGTAGATATTAATGATTTCTATTAATGACATTTTTTTCTGAATCGCCATACCCACTTAGTCTTTCTCTCTGAATTAATCCTTTCTCATTAAACATTTATGACGTTCCATAAAAATACTTTTATTTCTTAGTATTAACAAAAACTTTACTTTTGAAATATGTTATATTCTTTTTATTCTAGTACTAATGTCTTTATAGTAACAAAAACATACAACATAAGTTATTCACTATTTCGACATTATAATATAAGGTTTTATCATTTTGTTAACTATTTATGTGATGAACATATTGTTTTAAAAGAAATGAAATAAGAAATGAAGATTTAATTTAACATTTTGTCTAAAAAGTTAACGGGTTTTCCATTTCCATAAGTAATAACTAATAATGGAAGACAATATGAATAACTCCAATCAGATGGATTATCGACGACATACCCCAAATCAATTTTTTTGACTTTATCTGATTTAAGCACATAACATAAGATTAGATGATAATTCCCTTTGCAATATGTCATTGAAATGTTAGCAGTCTTTCCAAAATATTCTCCTCTTCCATAAGATTGTCCAGTCCTTCTCATTGGATCAAATCCTTCTCTACATATTGATTTGATAGATGCATCAGAAGTACCATGCCAACAAAAGAATCCTGATTCATTAACTGAAATGAAATGAACACGTTTCATTCCATCTAAGAACCTTTCAATACATGGACAATGTTGTGTAATAAAAGAATTAAATTGAATTGAATTATTAGTAGGAATATTATTAATTTTATTATTCAAAATAAATTCTTGTCCCAAATGAGTAACTTGACCAATAAATGGTTTGCATAGTTGTTGTTCATTATAAAATTCTTTATTAGTATAGTCTAATACACTACGTTGATTTACTCCAAAATCTATTCTTCCAAAGAGTTTAATTAACTCCCAAATAATATTAAATAATTTAATTTTAGTAAATGGATTATAACATTCATCTGCAAATACCCCACTTTGAAAAATACACCTTACTGATTCTTTAGTCAATTTTGGTACAAGAAAATTATATTCAGGTGGAAAAACTGGAAACATTGTTACTGAAAATTTAAACTCCATTTGAATACAATCTAATGTAGATAACGTCTCTAATTTCATAATATCTTTTCCTATGTTAGTATTATCATTAAATCCAAAAAATGATACAATCCAATGAAATGGATTATCACCCACTGCTTCAACATCAAATTTATATTTTTCTTTATTTAAATGAATTTCAATAATATCATCACTCAATATTTGAAATGCAAGTTGAGTATTAAAATTAAGTTTTGTTTTTTCTTCTGAACTAACAACTCTTTTATATACCTCTTTCATTCTTTCTTTCATTTTTTTCTTTTGTATTTCTCTATTTTCTTGTTTTTTTTTAATATAATTTCTCTCGTCTTTATCATTTTCTAGAAATATTTTCATTACTTCTTTAATCCCTTTTACTTCCCCAATTTCTATCATTGAGTTGGTTCTTTTAACTGTATGCTCATTATTCTTTCCTTTCATTTGAACATAGTATTTTGATTTAGGATAGTCTTTGTCATAATATACCTCAAACTCTTCATCATATTTTGTTAATCCTAATGTCAACTTATGTTTCATAGTGTCATGGTCTATCAAAAATATTCTATTATCTTCTGTACAATATTCGCAAATTTCATTCTCAACCTTTTGCACAATCTCTTCCATTTACAATCTTTTATTTTGTTTTTTTTTTGAGTTTGTTTCCAAACAGTATTTATCTGAGAGTTTTAAAAAAGACTCTTTACTACTATTCGTCAAAACTGATTTTTTATTCATTCCTTATTATCATTTGTTATTCTAAATATATAATTGTGTTTTTTAAAAAACAAATGTTATTTATAAAAAAAAAACAAAAAGAACCAACCAATCAGATAAATATGTTCGTTACAACAACACAACACATTATTATAATAATTCTATTATTTATTTACATAAGCAATGGGTCATTGTGTGGAGTTGGATGTTTTAATTGTTTATATGATGGGTATTGTGAGTCATGCATGAAAGGATATAATCCCAATGACAAGAATTGTAGTGAGTGTTTTCACTTTAATCCTCGTCAAAATATTTCTGAAGAAAATCCTGTTACAATACAACGGAATGGGATTTGTGTTATTGTCAATCAAACACTTCATCCATTAACATTGAGTTGGCATCCAGGAACAAAATATAATACAATTGCTAGTTTCACAGACAGTACTATACAAACAGATGTTAATATATCATATGAAGAAATAGAAACAGCAGTTGCAATTGGACCATGTGCATCTAGTAGAATAACAAATAAATTATT